GCTCAGGACATTCTGTGACCTGGTGGCCCTGGTTGGCCCTGTCCAGCTCAGCATTCTGGGCTTTGATGGCCCTTGTGTGTCCCTTCCCAGGCTGTCCAGTGATCTGTGATCGCTCCCTGCCCTCTGTGGGCCTCGGCAGAGCTCCCGGGAGGATCTGATCTCTGATTTTCCCAGGCTGACAGGCTGGCGGTGCTCAGGGCCCTCCTTGCTGCTGTTTTTAGATGTGAATTCATGACATCCCCACCTAAACATCACGTGGGTGTTGGAGGCCACAGTGAGGTCACGGTTTGGTGGTTTTCTGGTAAAAAAATGCCTGTGTGGTTGGAGATCCCACCTGATGCTTTATGAGCCATAAATGACTTTTCCATTTAGGAATTCCCCATGTGAAGCTGTGGACAATAATATTCACAGGATAATATTCACAGCCCCGAGAGCTTCTGCTGGGCCAGAGTGGCCTTTTGGGGACATTTTTGCTGCTGCAGGTGACAGTGCCATTGGGAAGGGTTCTCACACTGATCAGTTTTCATACAGAACCACTTCCCTGTGTGGTTTTTTTATTCCTTCCTTTTCCCTTCCAGCTCGGTTTGTTTTGGGGTTTTTTTTGTGGTTGTTTTTTTTTTTTTTTCCTTGATTTTTGGCTTTGTTTTTTTGGTGTTTTTGGTGTTTTTTTGGGGTGTTTTTTCCCCCAATCAGGAGCAGGTTGAGAATTCCTGGAGGAAGCACCTCCTGACAGACAGCAGATGCTGGAATTGTGCCTGGCTGGGTGGGGATGTTTTCCAGAGGCCGTGCCTGGCACGGATTGAAGGAGGAGCTGTGGGAGGCACAATGGATGCAGAGAGAGGAGCAGAGCCCATGTGATCCCCGGGGATTGTTGTTCCTCAGATAAGGTTGGAACTTCCCACTTGGAACCTCAAAACACCAACAAATCACCTGGGGTTCATGAAAAATCCCCCCTCCTGACTCTCCTCCCGCTTCAGTGCATAAATATTTTAATGGAGTTATTTACAAAATCAGGAACTCCTCGCTGGGAATTCTCTCTGAGATCCTGAAGAGCCTCTGGAGGTGTTGGATTTACAAACAGTTGCTGTGGAGCTGCGAGGGCTTTATAATAATTAAAAATTGCTGTGAAAGTGCAATTTCAGCTGATCTTACCATATTTTAACTCTGGGGAATGTGGCCGTTTGAAAATATTTGTCCTTCCTGTGTGTTTGGGGCTTTCCCTGAGGGTGTGTGAATCCTGCCTGTTTCTTCATTTAAATCCTTCAGAAACCAGGGAATGGGAAAGGCAAATCCTTTATTTTGTGTGCTGGGTTTAAGGGAATAAAAACAGCTTAAAAAGAAGGATCTGTCCCCTCATTTCCCCATTATTCATGTGACACAGCTCTGTGGAGCAGCCCAGCCCAGAAACTTCTGCTTTTTTGGGTTTTATTTTCTTCCTGAAGTTCCATTTGTGTCACCAGGTTGCCAGGCTGATTCAGGGCACGGGATCTCAAATAGGGAAGCGCTGGGGAGCTGCAGCTCCGGGAGAGGGGACAGGGGAAGTGATTGGAAGTTTTGAAGCCAGGGCTGTTGCTGGTGTCTAAATCTGATTTTTTTTTTTTTTGTGTGTCAAAATATCCATTTTAAGGTTTTTCTCGGTCTTTAATATACACTTCTGTGGCACTGAAGGGATAATTTTAGAACTGTTCTTGCCAGACCTCTCTAAACTGAGGCTGGAGTTTGTAAGTGGGATCTTCAAGGTGGCCAAACCCCTTTGGGCTGCCTTGAAGCTCCAACTTGCAACTCTCCATGTGCTCCCTTGGCCTCATTCCTTGGCCATGGCCATCCCCATGGTGAGTTCCTCGGAATCCAGGCACGGGCTGGCTGTGAAATCCCCATTTTGGTGGCTGGG